TCTGACTACTGTGTCTGTCAATACTAATTACCACCTCACGAAAATGTCAGAACCCATCCCAGAATCCATCCCCACCTCCTCCGATCCCCGCTCCAAACGCCCCCTCAAACGCCGCGCCCTCACCCCCGTCACACAGCAAGCCTCGCAAGTCGACGCCCTCTTCGCCAAACCCGACCGCGACATCCCCATCCCCTCCTCCACCGCCCTCGCCAAGAAATCTGCCCTCTCCGCCCCTCCCGAAATTGTCGCCAACGTCCAAGGGTCCAGCGCCGGAGCGGGCAGCGGGGAGTTCCATGTGTACAAAGCGAGTCGGAGGAGGGAATATGAGAGGGTGAAGATGATGGATGAGGAGGTGGCGAGGGAGAAGGCGGATGAGGAATTTGAGAGGAAGAAGGAGGAGACGAGGAAGAAGGATGAGGAGAAAACGGGGAAGAATAGGAAGAGGAGGGAGAAGAAGAAGAAGAACAAGGGCAAGGATGGGAACGAAGAGGCCGACCATGACAACCAAGGAGGAAACATGAATGGGATGTCAAAGCTTGATCGTGTTACTCTTCCCGGACCGAAGCAGGATGTAGAGTCAGGGGATGCACTACCTGCTACGACTGCTGAAGATGTTGGGGTCATCATTCACGATGACGACTGAGGCACCGCGCAGGGACATTGCCCATGTTTCCAAACAGTGTAACATTCTTCGCGGCTTACACAAGCACCCCGACTCACGTTTTTTATCTAAAGTGGTGGGTGCGGACCAGATTCCAAGACGGCGGAATCGAGAGCGATGATAGCCGGCCTAATGCAGAACACAATCAATGCCTGCTATTCAGCTGCTTCTCAGAGCAAGATGCTCTGGGCTCGCCTGCATTTCCTGTGAGATAAGTACGGTTGTCTTTGCTCCGCTATCTGTGGGCTCGAGCGCTGATGTTGACTTTTAGCTAGGAGATTCATGGCATCACTTTTTCATTGACGGTGACGAGCTTCCTGCTTGACAGACTTCAATTCTAGAGGTTGATGTAGTGTTGTGATTGCTCTAAATATGATACTGTTACTGCGTACTATCTTCCTTCCCCATATCGTGCCTTCGCAACATGCCATCAGCCACGTCTCGAAATCCGCATCACCCTCAAATCCCTGTGACCCGCCACCCTCCATCCTCACCCAATTGCAGGTTGGCTTCGACTCCGATCTCGTCTTCCACTAGGTAGCCTCAACCCCGAGGTAGCCTCAGTCCCACGAGTAAGTCGTTCCTGAACGCCTTGTTATCAGCTCACCTCGCCGGAAGAGGAGAAAGCGGAAAGCGGAAAATTTTACCCATGCTGTTTTCCAGGTAGCCATGGAAGGATCGTGAAGTCCTACCAAAACTCTCTCAAATGCCCTCTTCCAAGCTCTCAGGACCCGACAATGGTGAACGGTAAGCTGACAGAGGACAGGCGCCCGAGAACAATGGTGTGGGCTGCACGATAGGAATGGATGTCGTACAGTGAAGGGATTGGCACGAGCCTGGTGTTGGTTGTGTATAATGTCGAAGCCTTTGTCTTAAGTCAGTAAAGTACATCATACTCAGAGAAGGATGGATACCTTTGTAGGAGCCTCGCAGCTCTTCTGTTGGCCTCCTCCATTGACAAAGTAGTCGACCGAACACCCCGCAGTGCTGCAACGAAGCAGTTGATTGATTGGGCAGTCCGGAGCGTCGACATCATTTGAGTGAGCGAATACTGTGAGCTGCTGAAGTCGTCTGGGCGGATACCACAAGTTGTGGCATCGGTCGGGCAAGTACCGGGAATTGTGGAGGTCCCTTGGCTTGAGATGGAGGGGTACTGTTCTGGGTTGTGGAAGTCTGTTGGTTCGAGAGGAAACGGTAGTGTCTGGGTGTCGGACTCAAACTGGCGCACCGCCAAGCGAAGTCGAATCTATGAGGGAGAAAACTTTCTTTATCAGCCAAAGGCCGGCCAGCATTTCTCCTGACCCCTCAGGTTACATGAATTTATCATCATCAAAAATTCAGATTAAGCATGTGTCCGTCACGGGGGCATTCAAGGAGAAAGTACTGGCCTTTCAGGAATATGTTGAAGGCCGGCCAGCAGCTCTCCCGGTCACCCCGAAAGCAATCGGGGTCTCATCATCCATAGTCAGAGTTCCTTCGAGTCGATTCCTGCAGCTGCAGATGGGGGAAAGGGCCGACTGGCTTTTTAGTGGACAATGATGACAGGCCATGACGGCACACCTGTCCTAGGTGCTTGCACCTTTGACCGTCCATCCTTACGGGGATCGTGCCCGTCGGCATGCTCTGAGTCCCTGGCAGCAACCCTTCCGCGAGTCCGGAATTCTGGTTGTCCGACTCAAGTTGGCGCACCTCCAAGCGGAGTCGAATCTGAAGGAGAGAGTCTTTTGTCAGCCAAAGGCCGGCCAGCACTCCATCCCATCCACCTACCTGCATTACGTTCTCATCACAAGGAAATCAAAAAACTATCAAAGAGTGTGAGTCTTTCTATAGGAGCACACGAACGGGGTACACGAGGAAAATCCACTGGCCTTTGATTGTCTGTCACGAGTACGACGGAATCACAACCGATGGCAGCAGAGCGAAGATCGTCGTCGTGTTCTGCTTCTGTGACAAGCTATTAGCCACTATTCGAGGGATGATACCCGCAATGGAGGAGTATCTGGACAATGACGACAAGCCAGGACGGCATACCTACTCCAGGTCCTTGCTCCTTTCTCTGTCCGTGCTCGGCGGTGATTGTGTCTTGGAAGCCGTCGATACGCTCTGAGTCCCGGGTAGAAGGTGATGATAGCGGAGAGGATGTATGATGGAGAGGAAACCGTTAGCCTCTGTTGCATGAAGGTACAAGTACTATGGTGTAAGACTTACCACCGTTGCAGCAGCTTCTGCTCTGGTGTCGAGAGAGATGGGCTCAGGAAACCGGCCAATGGACGACAGCGAGAAGCTTTGAAGCATGCACTGCACTGGTAGGATGCCATGAAGATGCTGCACAATAGAGGAGTGTTTAGAGGAGTCTGATGGATGACTGGAAGAACGGAAGGGTGGTCAACAGGGAGAGATTTGGTGAGCAAGTGGTGTGGAAGAAAGAGAAAGTACAAAAGTGGGAGATGCTTTCTTGTACTCACACAGGCAAGTCTACAGACCCTCCTTCCCATTGTCTTGATGCTTTCCAAACTCAAAGTCCCGGAAGGCAGCTGCCTGCGTTTGGGTGGTTTTCAGGAGGAGCACGTCAAAGCTCCTTCCAGAATGGAACACCCAACGCATCATAGGCGATCCTACTGACAGTGCGCACGCTACGCTCTAAGTCTATCAAAGGAGTAACCTAACCTGAATGAAAAGCGGCAGCAAGGATCGCCCCTACTACTGACTACTTGGCTCTTCGAGGTTCCATGGCTACGATTCCGACTATACTAACACTGTCACTGCGAGAAGGGAGGCATGATTTGGGCAGTAGCTACACATGTTTCCACCGTGGTGCGTTTGCGAGTCTTTCACTTGCTAGTCTCGACGGAGTGAGTGCTCATTCTGGGCGATGCTACTAGAATAGGCGTGCCATCATACTCAGACTCCAGGTTGAATCGATTAACTAACTACCGTACGGACACAATGTCCAACTCGAAACCTGTGCTCGATTACAAAAGACCACGTAGAGTACACAAGATACCCCTCCTTCCCCATTCCTCCCCCGCTTGACCAAAGGATTTGCAGCCGCCTGCTACGGCAAGAACCAATACACGGTGCAGAGTCGCTAAGCGAAGCGAAGCTTCCTTCTCAAACCCTTCCTCCTCTCTGCACCGTTTACAGAAGGAGCTCAGCTGCCGCTGCGAGATAGGAGGGATGACCCATCTCGTGATCGTAATGGGTATGACAACCCGTACAATCTCCGCTCCCTCGGACGCATGGCATACCGATACACCCCCCGCGGGAAACCACAGCGTCAACGGCGCCGTCCTCCCGGCTTCCGAGTCGCGCGACCCCCGTCTACGTTCCGGAGCTTGTCGATTCGCATCGCTCTTTGGACGAAAGTCTCGGCGGAGAAGGCACAATCGGTCCGTGAGCCGCTGCACCCGGACCCGATCGATTCTTCCGGCGAGGAAAGCCTCAAATGTTCGATATCCAACCTGATACCCCGAACGACCACTCGCGGGCACATCGCCTCGCGCTGCGGCCCTTGCGGCTGGAACACTCATCCTGGATCCGAGGCGGAGGACTATGTTAAGGGTGCGTCGAATTGGATCGTGGATGGGGTTTGTACGCGCGAGCTACCGGGGATCGTTTCTACGACTCGGATTCTGTTCATTCGAATGCTTTTGTTTGGGAAGGGGGGCTGGATATGGGATGGGTGCGATGGAAGGATCGTTTCTATGACTCGGACTTTGTTCAATCGAATGCTTTTATGTGGGAAGGGTGGCCGGATATCGCGATGGTTCCAACCCTACTCGTCCACTACCATGCTGTCGCTAGTTTTCAAGTCGCCTCTTTACCGCCGGTCGAAGGAGGCTCGAGGCTCCTTCCCTGTCACACTTCGGGTCCGGCTCCGTGATCGTGGGTTACCATGATTGCTTTGCACACTCCTTGAGCCCAGTTGGAAATCATTTGTACGGCCGGCTCAGCGTGTGATTTTTTCTCTCATGCACTAAGAACGATTGTCGTAACATTTCGCAGCACTGAACACGACGTATGTATCAAGACCATCCATATGTCGCTAAGTTTGCTAGCTACGACTAGCTCTGCCCAAGAACTATCTCGCAGTCTCAAAGACACTTCATTCCCCCTCCGGACCGTTCAAAGAACATGGGTTTCTCTCCCACTGACCCCACCCTCTCCCCTCCTAGACCTCCCGCCCGAACTCCCTTCCCGCCCGCTTCCTGTCCACATCCTTGAAGACGACCAACCCCCCCTCGCCATCCTCCGCCGCGCCCATCGCGTATCCCGGCACATGATTCCCCCATCCGCAGTCCGCAGCCAGCCATCGTATCCGTGGCAGCGACTGTGGACCTCAGAGCGCGGAATCCCCGTCCCTGGTCCCGCCTTCCCGTCTCCCCTGCCGGAGCTGCTCCAAGGTAACTTCCGCCGGGTGGTTGTGCGTTTTCACGTCAGGAGGGGTTGCGGTGGTCGCTGCGGCGTGCACGCCGGACCTGGCGAGGGGGGAGTACGGTGCGGGACGAGCGGTTGTGGTGCACGGGGACTCTGGCCGGAAGGTGAGAAGTTTGTTCGGGGGTTGGGAGATTCCCGCGGTGGCGAACGTGTTGGTCGCTCTGGTGTTCTTGCCGGGGCGGCCGATCGCCCGAGGCTTTCGCTGGACGGTCCGGTCGTTCTGGCCATTTTGGTACTTGCGTATGTACTTTGGCCCGCGCGATGGACTTGAAGGGTCGGCAGAGGTGGTGAAATTGAGTTGCAGTGGCGGGATGTAGTGAATTGGCATCATGGCTGAGAAGCGCAGAGTGCTTCCAAAACTGTCGCGGCTGGACAAGTGAACGGCGAATGGTCGTGCTATCGATCGCACTGAGGTATACTTCTGACGGCTCGAAGTTACCAAGATGATTTAACCCGTTGGAACGCCGGCTTAGTGACTCGGGGCATGAGCTGAGTATCACGAACTAAAAGAAGTTGGCACAGTGCCGGACGAAAGGTGTGGAAGAATTTGGTTTCCAGTCGAATGCTTATTACATTCATGCAGAGGGCGAGAGGGTTTGGACCGCAAAGAGAGGCGTCGACAGAGTTCGGAAAGGGCCGATGCGAATCCACGAGCCTGCTCGCCACCACCGCGCAGAGATTTCTGAACAATGATATCTTTGCTCCCAAAAGTGAGGGATTTTCTTATCTTCTGGACTGTATAGCCTGCAGACCTGCAGCGAGCGGCTATCGCTTTCCCCAATCAAAAAGACTGGAAGAAAGAGAGGTAACACAGGATAGAAACTCGCCTATGCAACAAACCAAAAAGGTTGATGCCAGAATTCTTGTTTAAGAAAAAATCTCCAAAAATCTCCAAAAATCTGTGCGCCTTGACGATACGAGCGTCGTACAGCCTTCCCCTCCCATCTTCAGAATGAGCAAATTGTAGGCGGAATGTGAAATGCGAGCATGTCAGATTGATGATCTGTTGTTCCATTCTCCTACCCTAGATAGGTCTTACTTTCCCATTCGCTATTATTAGTAAGGATTTGAGAGAAGTTCGACCTCGTCTTTGTGCAACCCTCACATGTCTAGCGGTCGTATCTCATGTCACTTGCTCACCTAATCATACATAGGATGAAATCATGGTCTGGTACATGCGGAGTGCGGACACAAAGGCTTCTTTAACATTTCCACGGGTTGTTCTTTCTGGCTTGAACTGTGTCGATCTCGTTTCACAAATTTGCCATTAGTCGCCAACACGAGGAACACGAGGAACACGAGGGGGTTGGGAGGTTGGGAGGTTGTAGAATGCGTAAAGAAGAAAGCCAGAAAAGGAAGGACCAAGCTAGAAAGGAAAAGACCGAAGCCATCCGATAAGGCAGCCACCGGAACAAGGGTGAGAAAAAGTAACTAGTCGTCACCGACGGCTGTGCCGAAAAGAGGCCATGTTGGTTTGCGACATATTCTACCAGATATGGAAAAGTTCCCGTGTGGCTTGTCATTAGCGCAAGCCAATAAAAAGCGGTGGCGGCGGAGAAAGGACGCAAGGACACAAGGACGCCACGACATGCCAAGGCTAACGGCGATCTTTACCCCTTTTTTCCACTTTCTGCGTCTCCTCTTCCCTCGAAAGCGAAAAGACATCCTGGGTCCAAGGGTAGGTCGATACGGCTTGATGTGCTACATGAGGAAGAAGATAGCTGGATCGACAGAACTCCGGTCGCCATAGCCATGTGAGCGAGTGAACCAACAGTGGAACATGGGTACCGCTGGGGATGCTTCTAGTAAGAGGAAAAGGAATCAACTTGTCCGTGGGTTTCATGCCAGACACTGGCTGTTATCATGCTGTAGAAGGAGGAGAATGATGAGATCTGCAGGTCCGGTGTGTCATTGGTTGGCGCTCCAGCTAACAAGATCCGTTGCGCTTCCTCATCTGCAGCGATGCAGTCGTAGAGACTAAGAGTAGGATTCGCAGAATGTAATGCACTCAGCTGCAGGCGGTTGGCTTTTTCGGACCCAAGGAGACATTTTCTGTCATCAGGCGCGGTCAGAAATGGTGGACCAGGTTATGAATGTGCGGGCTGGCTTGAGCCATCGGGACGCGACAGCCACCGATCTGCTCGTCCACTGTGTGCCCATTCCTGAAACCCAGTAACCCATCTCACTCAGAATCGATATGCGTCCACCCAACGTGCAGGACTCTTGTTCGGGTGACCAAGAGTGTGGTAGTAGTGTCGCTTGGATTATGCTTGAGGTGAGATGAATTCTTGTACCAGAGAAGGGCGGACCAATTCCGGCAGAATTGGGGGCCGAAGTAGCTTGTTGGGTGCAACTGCAGGGTGAGATGGGATGCATAAGGTGAGGTAGGCGAGATGTATTACTGTAGTTAGATACATAGTGGTAGGTAGTTGGATCGGTAGGACCTACTCTTTCACTTGATGTATCACTGAGGTGTCACTTTTGATTTTTTTTCACTATTCTCAGCATTTTTCACTACCTTACTATTATTACAGCCGAATGCGCAGCTCAAGTTGGCTTTTAGGCATGCAGATCCAAAGCTTGACCGGCTGTTCGGAAAGCTGCCGAGAAGTTTAGAATTCTTGGAAGAATCCCAAGGCAACATTTGTCGGCCAATGGACAGCTGAAAGATCCATAGGTAACTTAATTAATCAAAAATCAACCCAAATTCCAATGATGGAGCATGAGCATGAGCATGAGCATGAGTCCTGGAAACCACCTTGATGTAGAGTAGCCAAGCATACTTTATCTACCTATCCAAATTGTAAAACCGTCTTGCCTGCCTGTGACCGCCTGGCGCATCGCGAAACATGAAAAAAAAACATTGCGCCCAATCCGGGCCTGTCTTCACCACCTTCCCGGGTAGGGTAGGGAAAAAGAAGGATAAGCAGAATAAGCACTGGCAGGCCCTGAAGGAAGTAGATATGTAGTGATTGGGCCAAAAGCTGCAAAAGCCAAAACCCCATGGTCGTACATAGTTCCTGCCTAGGACAAGCGTCACAACTCACAAGCCCACCCTCTCTCCCTACCTCACTCCCCCCCCCCAAAATTGGCCGATCCCATGTACCGTCAATACTTACGCATTCGACGATCTTTTTCTTGCCTCTCGTTCACACTTACCTTTTTACCCTTTTACCCTTTTAATTCCAACCTTTTCAATCTAAAGTAGACTCCCCTACCGTACTTTACTCTACCTACTCTACCTTGAAAGCCACGCGCGTAAAGATCGGCTGGTGCTGGCATAGCCTCTTTCCACTTTCATTCGACAAATTCCCTCCCACCAAAAACAACACTACTTTCGGATCATTGACCGGCGTCTTGATTGCCTGACTTGGTAGATATACCCGTTCCCTCACCCCATTCTCAGACGCCTCTTGCTCACCTCTCATTGGACTGCCAGAATTTGCTACAATTGTACTATTAACCTTTCACTCCTCCTTACCTTTCGTTGAAAAGTGAATAATAAAAAAACAAAAACAAAAACAAAAAAGGTCACCGCACCTTCTTCTTCCGGATTGTTATATTCTCCGCCGACTCCTCTCAAAAAAGGTTGTACCTACTTACTTTAAATCATCCCACATTCTCGCTCAATCCACTCTTACTTTATCTCACCGACATCTTGAGCCTCCACCTCCGCACCAATGTTGCTTACACTCAAACCTTTACAACAGCACGGGTTTGCAAATCCCTATGCAGCTTCATCTGCTCAACAACGCTCTCCCTCCTCATACTATTCCTCACCCCCAAAGTCCGCTTCTCTTCCTCCTCTACCGGATAACAAACCCCGGAGAATGAGCACACCACACCGAGGCCTGCCGCCTCCCTCAGCCATGGAACGAAGTCTGCCATTGCCCGAACGAGCGCCACAAACAACCGGCCTGTCATTGGCTTCGCTGCCTGCCGCGCCTTCACAATGGCAAGGCGGTCAAGACGAGTCAATGCGAACCTGGTTACACGCCAAATCCGAGGAGGATCGACGCAAACAGGAAGAAGAAAAGACTCGACAAGAGGGCTTGAGGTTGGAGCAGCGAAAGCTCGAACAAAACATGCTACAAGAATCTCTACGGGGCGGGATCCCTCCACCAATGGTTCCGATGATCTTTGCCAGCCTTGGGGGAGGCCAGGTTGCGCAATTGAGTCTGGAATGGGCCCAACATTACATGCAACAGCTCACTATCCAGCAGCAGGCCCAAATCCAGCAGCAGCAGCAGCAACAACAACAGCAACAACAGCAGCAGCAACAACAGCAACAGCAGCAGCAGCAGCAACAACAGCAGCAGCAAGCCCAAACTCAGGCCCAAGCCCAGATCCAGCAGCCGCCAGCACATTCCCAACTCCAAACTTCACCGGAACAACGCCGAGACACCCGTCTCCTGACCGGTCCAAATCCGAATCCTTACGGGGCGCAGCAAATGCAGCCGCCGGCACAGACTACACCGATACAACCAGTGCAGCAGCCTCAAGCCAATGCAAGCTTCACATCCTCATACACGAACTCTGCTCTCCCCAGCGAGCGCGTCAGGTCACAGCAACCTCTACAAGCAGCGCCACCGACATCGAACCCACGGCCTACAACTTCACAGTCCTCTTTGTCTCGTCTCAACACCGGTGGTGATCTACATGTGCCCACTCCGGGAACTTCCGCCGCTCTACAATTGACAGGCCAGCATCCTCTACAGCAAACGCAGACAAGCCAACAGCAAGAGCAACCCTCTTCACCTCTGTACTTTCATCATTGGCAACCACCCGGGGAGCAAGGCAAGTCTAAAGACAAAGAGCAAGGAACACCATCAGGCAGGAGTGCGCACACATCTCCAAACACGCAACCCCCAGGATCTCACCTGCGCTCGGAGTACACCACTTCGCCCAAAAAGCGCAAAGCGACAGGGTCCCACCAGCCCGCGCCAACACCCTCCTCTCACACATCACCATCCTTCAACCACCAAGGCTCATCGGGTTCCACTTCTGGCCGACGCCGCCGACAAAACTCCAGGGCCAGCGACGGCTCTTCCCGTGCAGCGCATGAGAGTGGACGACAGAGTCTAGAGGGCGAGGCCGAAAGTAGCAGAAGTTCGGCGCATGCTGAAACACGCCACCTTCCAGCTCATCATGCGGCCGGGTCGGATAACAGGGAAATGAGGGAGATGAGGCATGCATCACGGGATTTAAGCGAGCGAAGCAGTCCCAAACGGGAGTCATGACCAGGCTCTAGTCTCTACCATTGGACAAGTCGAAACGTCGAGGATGATTTCATTTCCTTTCATTTCATGCAGGGTGCCATGGCGACCTGTCAGTTGCGTGGTGTTATATGTTTGGATCTGGCATTCTGACTGGCTACTTATACCCTTCTCGCGCATCTTACATTGCATTTGGCGGTATGCATGTGTTGCTTGCATTTTTGTTCTCTACTATCAGTGCCCGGTATTTATACGCCCTGGGGGCACGGGCACGATTGACAGATTCCAGTCTATTCCCCGAGATTTTGCATTCTTGTACCATACTTTTGACCTAGGGACATTTTGATCTCCGGATCGTAGGAAATTCAAGGCAGACGCAACGGCCATTGGGACCGCTGCTGCATGCATGCATTATCGTTCTCGCCACCATTTTGTTGGGTGGAAATTACTTGTCATTTCGCTTGGCCTTGGCCTGCATACCGCCCTCTCCCCATCCAGCAAAACCGAGTTTAGAAAAGTCGGGCATAGATGCGCTTTGACGCATGCAACGTTGTGAAAATTGGAAAAATGAGACAGACCCATTTGACACCATTGACAAATGATACTCACTTCCGATCATCACTGCCGCGACCCGTCTTGGTCCAAGTAGTGCTTGCCCTTCATCCTCGCTCTGACAGTCTTAATCTTTAGCTGTGCAGCTGTGCAGCAAAAGCTGAGATAGCCGTTATGTTGCGCATGAGTCTAATCCACCCTTGGCCCTTAAGTCTTTTGCGTTGTTTTAGCTCCCGTTGCGCTTGCCGCCGATCATTTTTCCTACCAGTCACTTTGAGCTTCCAATGCACGCTGAAGAAAATACTTGCATCCTCGATGCTCGTCACCACTCTACCTGTGCATCGGTCATACTTGATCCACCCCGCCTGGTCCACCGACGAAACTTGCCGCCGAGGAAAATCCTTGGCAGGGCGTCCTTCATCGCTCGGCCTTTGTCCACGGTGCAACAGTGCCATCCTCGGTGCTCGTGTGCGGAGGCAGGCTTCCATCGGTCAGGCGCCATCGACATCGTCGAGTCATCACGGCCGTCATAGACCCGGCGATCGTGGCCGCTCCTGCAGGATCTGTCCATCACCGAGGGAACGGGTGCGGTACCAAAGCTGAGCCGGATTCTGGGACGGAAATGTTTCCGTTCGAGTGGGAGTCTGACGGTCTGTGCCCTGGAGGATTCAACTCGGTACCTTACGGGTGGAGCGGTGGGCGCGGGACGGCTGTCTGACACTTGGGTGTGGGTGGCTGTTGCTGTTCATGGTATCGGATGGGATGGTTAGACATGTCGGGGTGTCTGTTGCTAGAAAGGAGCAGGGAGGGTCCGGTTGAGAGGAGATTGTTGGCATCGATTGTGATTTGCAGCTCTTTAAGTATGGTTACTTCTTTCCGCTCTCTCTCTCATTCTCTCTCTCTCTTTTTTTCCCAAACATACGCAGCCTTGTGTGTGTTTCTCAGCTTTCTACCAAACCATCCTCATCTCCACGGTCTGAGCCGAGATTGACCCTTCCCAATGTCTGAAGTCTTCGCAACTTCCGGCGTTGCCGTCGCGACAGTCATTTCCGCTCTTGCACACGGATTCGGGTGCCCCAGACTCTCCCTCGAAGTCGTACTCGCGTGGAGCCAGCCTTCGCTTAAAGTGTGTATCTTCCAGACCGTTCTTCCGCAAGCTACAAGGTCTTGAAACATATGCTTTCACTTTTCCGCATGTTCAACATGGATCTGTATAGTGTACGAGGGTACGAATCCATACTTATCCAATCGATCGGGATTCCTGTAAATCTAGGGTCACCCACCGTATCGACCAGGAGCTTTCTGCGGAAGAGCCACCAGGGGTAAGCCAAGTGTTCCAAACCATCCAAGTCTGACCTTTCTCTTCAGGCCAAGTATCAAACAGCGCGTTCCCTGCGTATCCACCACAACAGCTACGCTTTGCACGTTCGGTTCGGGACCGAAGACAAGATGGCGCCCCGACTCGATTATCAAAGGGGTAGCCACGAGGCACGAGCCGAACCTGTCCCTCTCCAGATACGCGCCCTGTCAATCGCATCGAAGCCCCCTGGATGGCGGCTCGCACGGGAAGCGCATAGAGTCCACATCACCGCCACGTGCAACGATCGCCTCTCGCACACGGCCTCGCGTCTCTATCCTTACAGGCGAGTCGCTCACCCTCCATTCAACACCATCGGAGCGGCTTGCTTCTGGATCGAGATTCCCCCTGGCAGTACGCCGCCTCAAACGGAACCCCTACCCGTCTTCCCCCCGCTTCCGCTTCCCTCGACGTGCAACACTCCTGCCCGTTTTCTGCTTGCCTCCCTCCCCAACAATCCTAATCCCCTCAACCAAATCCTCGCATCCGTAACCGGTGCCCGTTCCGTCCGTTGCCAAAAGGCGGCACGCTGGGTGCCCCTCGTCGGCTGGGTGGGTATCAAGCTACCTATCTCCGATGAGTGAATCGTAAAAGCTTACCCCGACTGATCCGCCACGGACGGAGGCGCCTGCTCGGAGAACTTGGCCCGACCACCCGTTTCGCCCCCTTGCCTGCAACGATCCCTTCAACGATCCCGATCAATCGCATCCTTTGGACTTCATCTGGATCGGGCTCCAACGCTTATCCCGCCTACCTCATCTATGCCTAAGAATCAACCGTAGCTAAATTCACGCTCCCCCCCCCCTCCGCCCCCCAAAATATAACAACACAGCGCCATCATCACCTCGCCCCACCTTTTCCTTTTCTTTCCTCTCCTCCCCTTTCACAAAACACCCGCCAGGACCTCACATTCGCAATGCGCCATGAAGAAAACATGAGAGGCCGGATATGCCTCTTGCGGTCTAGCTGGTCTGAGGGGGCTTTTCAGGGCACGAGTCGGAGTCCAGGATAGGGACGGAGGGGGACGGCTGAAGGCGCGGTTTGGGGCTTTGTCGTCACCGCTGAATGGAGGGGAGGGAGGGGAGGGAGGGGCTGGAGTTGGGGAAGGGGTATGGAGCGAGCATCCGTCCACAACACGGATTTGAGGGGGGGGGAACTTCGATGGATCCGTCCATTGTCAACGGTATTGATTCCGTCCGCACGGCTGTCGATTTCATGAATGCGACATCTTTCCTCCGGATCGACGGACCGTTCATTCACCCTCCCTTACCCGTAACCCCCCCCCCATTCCTCCCGCATTGACTCCTACCCACGTCACAAGGCGCGCAACTGTACCCCGGGTTACTCATATCGACGCGAGCGGTATAGGGATACGGAAACGGGCATTGTGCTATTTACCGGGAACTTGACCGAATCCGCGTTCCACCACTTTCCTCACGTCTTCGGTGCCGGGGGTGTGGGTGGGGCGGAGATGGATGGATGGATGGATGGATGGAGGGATGGAGGGGGGAAGGGGTCAGCTTTGGGAGGAGGAGGAGGAGGAGGAGTCGTGGACGACGGACCCTCCGTGGCAGCGGAGTCGTACCACCATGAGCCGATGGGTAGGGAAGGGGGCTGATGCGTAGAGCGCATTTGGTGGATGGGAGTGGGTTTCGGGTCAAGGGTTCATCTTTGGCGGTTAGTGTGTACAGTGTGGAGTCATTGGATGCACCGGCGGCTCAGTCATCCGGTGAGAAGCCGAAAACATCTTGTCAAGACGCGGGTGGGGTATCAAACTACCAGTACAATTGTAGAGAACGGTATACAGATTAAGAACAGAAGCGCCATTCGCCCGTGCTAATGCTTGGATCCTATCCGTCTGACCGGCAAACACCTTCGCTAATGCTGATATTTAATGATGGTTAACAGGTATACGATGAACGCTCATTGCCGAGAGGGGTTTCCAGCTGCTCCATCTGTCAAAGACAGCGGCGGGACCTTCCCGTCCTCCTCAAGAGTACTGGCGAGTCCATCCTGGGTCGTCATGTGGGTTATTGAGTTCCCGGAAGATCGATGGAGAAGCGTAGGTCGCGGCGTTAATGCGGCGTCATCGTTGGGAGAATATAGAGCTTCCGGGTCTTTGCCGTGATATGGTATAGCATTCCGCGAACTCATGCGCTTTTGGAAGCTGGGTCTTGTGGGATGTGAAGACTTTTTGTTCTCGTTCTGGGCTCTCTCGATGACTTTCGAGGCTAGGTCGTGGGCGGTGCCCTGCAGGTCAGGCATCGATTCATCAGGTTGGTTTAGGTAGCCTTCCAGCATGGATTTGAGCACAGCGGCCCTCACAGGCTTGGCCAAGTAGTTGTTCATCCCGGCTTCTAGACACTTCTCTTTGTCGCCTTGAATGGCGCTAGCTGTCATGGCAATGATCAACACCCCTCGTACCACGGGGTCCTCGTCCATGCGTATGAGTCTGGTCGCGTCGTAACCGTCTAGCACGGGCATCTGCACATCCATCAAAACGAGATGGAAAGGGTTCTTCTCAGATGAACGCTGGCGAAGCGCTTCGACTGCTTGTAAACCGTCATTGTATGCTTCCGATTTGAAGCCGAGCTTGGAAACGAAGGAGACTGCAATTCTTTGATTGATGGGGTTGTCCTCCGCTATGCATATTCGAAGTTCTTTCCGCGGGATCTGTGAGGGGTTGAAAATGGACGACTTTGACGATTTTCCCCCCTCAGAAGACCAGATGGCCTTTGCGTCTGGTGCTTGAGCGGCTATTGGAGCACGGCCCTTCGTAGCCGTTTTCGCTGCTTTTGGAAATGTGATGGTAAAATAAACGGTCGTACCGACACCCACTTGACTCTCCAGAGATATTTTTCCATTCATGACCTCGATGAGCGCTTTGCAGATGGAAAGACCAAGTCCACTACCACCAAATTCACGTTGAGTGCTGCTATCGGCTTGGGCAAATGGCGTGAACAGTCGAGATACTTGGTCTTGAGTAATTCCGATGCCAGTGTCGGCAACCGAGCAAGTGACCGTAAGACTTTCGCTATCCTCGTATTCCCGCTTTGCTCTAACATGGACTGATCCCTTCCTTGTGAACTTGTAGCTGTTGCTCATGGTGTTCATGAACAACTGGTGTAGCCTCACGGGATCGCCCAAAACCAGTAATTCGGGGTCTAGATCTAGGTCCATCTTGGTCTCGAGTCCTCGCTCATGGTTCGTATAGATCAAGGCCCGGACAACCTCCAGTATGGTCTCTTTGAGGTTCAAAGGGGAATAGTAAAGTTTCAATTTCCCAGCCTCTAGCTTCGAATAGTCAAGTATATCATTGATGACGATCAAGAGTGTATCGGCGCAAACCCGAATGGAATCTGCGAACTCCTTTTGGTCGTCGTTGAGGGGCGTTTCTTTCAACAGTTCGGACATACCAATGACGCCGTTGAGCGGGGTGCGAAGTTCGTGCGATACATTAGCAAGGAAGATGCTCTTAGCTTTAGCAGCTTCCTCTTTCAACCTGACGTTCTCCCTGGCCTCGGCTTCTGCGTTTTTGGCTTTGATTTCTGCCTCTCTAGCCTTCGCAAGTGCACGCTTTTGACTCTCTATCATGCTCGTGTTTGAGGCCGATACTTTGGCAATGCGCTTGAAAAGCAAGGCGTTGGCGATAGAGATGCCGACCTGGTTGCAGAAAAGTCGGAGTACACCTAGATTGCGGTCGGTAAAAGAATTGGATTGGCCTTCGAGATACAAAATCCCGAGCAGATCTTTCCCTCTAACAATGGGTAGCGAGATCACGGACTTGGCCGACGCATTGGTAAGGAAACGCTCGTCGTGGGCCAAGTTATGGACGAAGACAGCCTCTTTGAATCGCATTGTGTAGAGGAGTACCTGTTTTTGGGCTTCATTCCGAATCTCAGTTATTGGCTGGGCCTCAGCAGATATGCCTTCTGATGTCCCACTTGCAGCGATGCACCAACCATTATCACCTTCGATGATGACTGCGGCAAAGTCTGCTTGGGCACCTGCAGATTCCAGGATGATCTCCGTCATTTTAGCTAAGAGGCGATCTATCTGTAGTTCAGAGGATATCGCCTGGTTGAACTCCAAGATACTCTGCAGGTCGAGAACATCAAGCCCCAAATCAGAGACGTCCTGATCGGCGATCTTCGCACGGCCATCAGTAGCTGTTGGGGAGACCCAAGCTTGGGTTCTATCACCAGCGGTTTCTTTGCCCAGATTCCTTGTTTCTTGACGCTCATTCTCCTCGATGCGGAACTGTGTATTGCCAATGTCGCCGATAGCATCTGCCGTCTGTATAGCAACGTCCCTCGTCTGTGTCGTTGTTGATGTTCGAAGTACCCATTCGTGCTTTACGGCCAATTGGTCCACTTTCCCAGTTGCACCGATGCGCGAATACATTGTTAATGATTCTTTCAAAATAGCACGCGCAGCTCGCCTGGCTCCTCGCCGAACATAGAATTCGCCTTGCAATTCCAAGGCTAGAGCGTGTTCGAGTAGGAAGTCGTAGAGTTGTGTATGGTCAATCGCGGCCTCGTACGACTGGATTGCCTCGCCATAATGGCCCTCTATATCAGCCAATTCAGCTTCAATCAAAAGCTCCCACATGAGATAATTAGCATTGCACTGAATTTGCCATTGAGCTATGTGTGCTTTGTACTGTCTGACCTTGGTGAGGGTTGTGTCGCGATCTTGATCACTGTTGCCCTCGCGAAGTTGTGCGACATAGCATAGTGAAGCGTAGAAGAGGGTAAGCCGAGAGATCCGCAAACTCCACAGTTGGTGAATGCTGGTTGCAATCTCGTTACTGAGTTGAATCGCCTTTTGGTAGTGTCCGTAAAGGTAAAGCGGAATCATTTGCAGGCTGTTGTAGATATTTCGAGGTCTTTCAACGTTGGAGGAACGTGAGTCAATCAACTCCATATAGTTCGCTGTACTATGCTCCTCATCGGACATTACCATTTCCGGAGATTCTGTATAAGTCTTTCCTTGGAGCGAACGGGCAACTTGACGTGTTGCAGTCAGGAATACACCACCTCTCATGTCTACATACTCTATGTCAGCCATTGTTGTGTACATATCGCCGAATGTAGATTAACCTACCTGAAGCCCAATCACCAAAGTCCTCCGCTCCTACCGAGCAGAACAACTCGATGTTCGCTAAATTGTCACCGATGTAAAGGCGCCGAAGGGCGATACTTCCCACGGAGAGAAGATACACATGCTTGTCTCCGGACACAAGGGACTGATCAATTGCTTCCTCCAAGGAATCAAGGTGATCTCGTATGGGCGTGAACAGATGCGCGATGAAGAGCGCAGAGACTGCCAATCCTCGGCCAAGCGTGTACGGATCTCCATGTTGGCTCAAAAGCTGTTTCGATAAATCATGCATCTGGAGGCCAAAAGGGAAATCGTCACTTCGACTGATGCACACAAGGGCAAAATATGAGAAACCAAGGCCGACTTGGGAGAACGTGCTCGGATGGGTCATATGAGTCTCAACCATCTTGAGTACCAGCTGATAGAACTTTGAGGGTGATCAGTGATGGGGTCAAAATTAATGGGATTATAGAAATCAACA